TTTTTTTTTTTGCTGGCATCCCGTGGGAATTCCGCGCGCAAACAGTTAAGTCGAAAGCGTATGAATGAAAGAAGTAAAACGGTAGTAAGTATGCTGAAATACTGAGCAGCAAGTGGGATTAAATATGCAAGATGGGTAGAGAATCGATGAGCACATTACAGTGCAATTATTCAAGATCTTTCAATTTAAGACTCAAAAATTAACCAATGTGACTGAGAGTCTCTTTCTGATTCATGGCCCGGATGCTTGGATTGTAGGTAAAAACATCGTCCACCGGAGCAAACACCGTAATGCGGGCGTTCATGTCTTCCATATATGCCCGCGCAACCGTATATTGATCGCATAACGTTCGCCACTGTAATAAAAATAAAAATCTTGTTTCAAATCAAATGTCAACTTTAAAATTTATTTATTTTAGTATTGATTTATCAATATAAAATCGTGGGGGCGAGAAACTGCCGAAAGTTTGAAGCTTTAAATCACTGCTTAAAATGAGCCAGTAGAACCTGTTGTAGGTCGCTCATCCGCTCTATTTCGGTCCACAGCTCTGCATGTACTTGCCGGACAACCGAGACAATAATCGTCAGGATGCATCTGGTCCAAACTTGCATAACACCGCGCCCAACATGCATTCAATGCAGTTGGCAAATTGTGTTTCTGGAATCGATAATTCTACTATTTTTTATCGACGACGCCGCCACATTATCGTAATTAATTGTAATGTAACAAAGGCAGCTGGATCATTCGCGGAACACATGTTTTGTGAAACAGCAAGTGAAAGAAATTATAATAACGTGGTAGCATGATATAAATAAAGCTAAGCGAAACTTTGAAAATCTGTCAGATTTTGATTCGAACATACTTGCAGAGGAGAAATGTACATGTCTAAAAAATATTCGTCGAATAATAGGCCATTGGACAAATCGTGCAGCCGTCACATTTGGCTGCATGCTTTTAAAAGGTATTGTACTTGCAGTGAGCTCTGAAGTTGAGCTAGGCTACAGTTTTACTGATTAACCCTGTACACTATCCTTTTGCACTTTTTCTTTTCAAGGAACATAAGATGTAGCCACAACATGTTCGAAATATGGTCGAGGATGGCTAGTGTTTCTGTTATAATGCTACAGTTCAAACGTGAAGAACAAAAGATCTCTGTTGTGACAAACTTGCTGGCACTATGAAAATTTGCCTGCCAATATTTTTGCGTACATTTTACTGCTTCGGGGTAGCACTGATGTAGTGCAGTAGGTCGAAGGTTTGAGTCAGTCGGTGGGACAACCAATCCCTCTACGATTCGTTTCGATGGTAGTTTGGTACTGGTATATATAAGTGAATCAAATTTGCCATTAACTTCATTTTAAGCAACTCTTTGAAGAAAGCGCCATTAACAGTCTTGCTAGCAGATAGTTGCTGTTGGCACTTACTACCACTCAGGCTACTTCCGAGCGCTTCTGCTTCTCAATGAGAGCGAAATGCGGAACGGAGTCTTGGCTTTGATTTACTGCCCTGAATGCCAGGTTTGAAGTTCACATCTGGCGCCCCCTTACCCTTATGACCGGATCAAGGGTAATTGTGTCGCGCTGGTGGCTTCTAGTACAACGGTTGCGGTAGGTGCTCTTAAACGCCTCAGGTAAGCTCCTGAACCAGAATGCAAGAAAATGATTCATAAAGGCCAGCACACATGTTACGAGGTGCCACGCACACATCCTGTACATAGGCAGGACCAGAGAGTGCTGGCAGTGCTCAATAGTGCCGAAGGTAAACACTAACCGTTGAAATATTTTGTGTCTGCTTGCTTATGTATGTGTATGCCTTCGCAATCAAACAAGCTTCGAAAGCATCGAGGTGGTTCGCTGATGAAGTGGTCAGCACCGCTTCTGCTGGCTGGTTGCTCTTGGCTCGCAATCGCTGTCCAGTTACGGGATTTACCTTCGGCATCTGAAATCCCGGTACTGACTAGGATATAAAATGGACAATTTTTGAGTGATTCATGTAATCAAAAAATGCCCTATGACAAAATCTTGTGTGTGTGTGTGTGTGTGTCCGAAAATCTAGTTAAGAAAGTTTCGGAATTTGGAGTTCCTTCAATACCATTTTCTGATCGTATACGAGCTCACAAAGCTTAAACAAACCTTTAGGTGATTCTGCCTTTGAAATTTTAACTTCAGTTCCAGATGTCACTGTAACTGGAAGAGAAACAAAACCTCAGATGTAGTTACCAACATAAAACCAGGACTTCTGTTCAACTTAATCAAATCCGACTCACTTGTGTTCATCATTTTTATGCACTTTTGCACATTTATGCAAATGCATTATGCATAACTGCCTATATATATATATATATATAGTATACATGTATATATATACTATATATATATATATATATGCTCACATTTTTATCATCCACTTTCAACTCTGCAATCTGTGAAGCTAGGAGGCCGAAATTTCTGGACTTGTTCCAACCTATGCCTCTCCATCTCTGAAATTGTCGTACTGTTACGCCCGGATCTTATATACGGACTTCAAAAATTTGTGCAAATTTTTTCGACAGAAAGGCTGTTTCAGGAACCAAGCAAGAGAGGAAGATAAAACTTCACAAGGAAAGGGTTAGCATATTTAGTGCATGGCACATTTAGTACACATGAATAAAAATCGTTTTTTTCACACTCTCTTAGGATTCTTCAACTCAGTAATTGGAGATTTTAGGAAGCCGAAATTTACGAGGATGCTTCTTGGCGCACGGTTCTACAAATTTACGCCTTTTTCTCACGTGAAGTTGAAATTGCAAAATCGATGGTACTTTTTCAACTCCGCAACGAGGCGACCATGGTAGCTGAAGTTCTATGACAGGACTCTCCGACCATATACCGATTCTCAGACCTATAAGATAGTTTCAATTCAATCTAGGTAAGAAAGGGAACAAAAATTTTCTAAACTCGGTTCCCAAGCCATTTGTAAAACTGTGCAGAAATACATACTCATACTAGTTACTTGGTGCACAAAAGTGCTTTTTGCAAAGGAGCTGACGTCCCTCACTGCATAGCGATCTTCCCTTCGCATTTATTTTTAGCTTTATTATTTGTGGCAACCCAAGGACGAAAAAAGGCCAACTTATTTTTCCTGCGTCTTTTTCTGACAAACGACTTTTACTTGACTTGTTATTGTGAATTATTCCTAGTACTTCAGTCCTTGCTATCATTTTGAATCTAAATTCCGACTCTGAAAAAATTTTCTGCTAGCTTATTTTTAAAAAAAACCTAGTGCGACTGCAAGTCGACTGTGACTGCTGTTTTTAATTCCAGTATTTGTTGGTGATAACATTTTGCCAGCCAACAACCAAAGTTCCTTCCTTTTTCTCAACAGAGACACTTAGGAACAGACGTCTCGAGATGTCATCGGTGTGCTACTATCTCGTTTCGACTGTTGTTACTTTTAGACCACGGTAAGGCCCTCCACCAGCTAAGAGTGATGCATAACCATTTGGCTCCGTGGACGAGTGAGTGTATGCTCTTGTCGATGGTACTAATGAGGTTTAGCTGTGATGTTGATTAGGAACGTTAAAGACTTAATGGGCCGAAACATTCTTGTTCATCCAATTTTTATGCGTCTTTGCATATTGGCAAGAAGCTGTGTGTATGTGTTGTCTGTATGTTTGCTTTTTTTATCACCCACTTTCAACTGAGAACCAGAAATGTCAGAAGGCTGAAACTTCGGGAGTGTGTACACACCACCTGTGCGACACTTCCTTTTTATGCGTTTTTGTATAATATGCAAATAAAGAAACCGCAGTTTTTGTCGCTACCGGCATCGGTTTTTTCGGCAGATGCTTCAAGTTGAAAGAATTTCAGA